AAAATATTTAACTTGTTGAAACCTGCAGATCTAGACAAAACTAGGTAAGCACAATAATTTGATAGAATATTTAACTTGTTGAAACCTGCAGATCTAGTCAAAACGAGGTAAGCACGACAATTTAAAAAAATATCTAACTTGTTGAAACCTGCAGATCTCGACAAAACGAGGTAAGCACGACAATTTAATAAAATATTTAACTTGTCGAAACCTGCAGATTTGTGTAAAGTGTTGTAGGTCTTTATAGTATTCTGGTGGATTGTGGAGAGCGTGTTATGATTGGTTGGTTTATCCCTGTTTCTGATTGGAGGAGAGATGTTATGTAGATTCAACCAATGGTAGCCACAGGTTACTCACCTCTAATCCAAAATCTCTGTTTAGTGAAGGTTTAATTGTGAAATCACCACTCTTTCTAATCCTAGCAGACATTTTTATAGAATACTTTGAAGAAAGAGCCTCTCATTCACACCTATAAAATCAAGTTTTTACAGGTGTTATGTCGACAACACCTTCATTATTTGGCCCCACGGTCATGAAAACTTACCTGCCTTCTTAGAACATCTTAATTCTGTAAACAAATGAATCCATTTCACCATGGAAGTATAGGAACAAAATAGCCTACCATTTATTAAAATACTCATCAGCAGATAAGAGAGAAAAGTCATCACAACTGTATACAGAAAACCCACACGAACAGATACCTACACTTCCAGTCCTATCATCCAACCTCGATAAAACGTGGTATAATCCAGTGCCTAAACAAGAGAGCAGAAAACATTTGTGATAAGACATCCATCAAAACAGAACGCCAAAAGATCGTAGAGGGTTTTAAACAGAATGGTTACACCTCCTTCTTCATAAAAAACTCCATGAAGAAGACCACAACAGAAAGAAAAGATCAGAAAAACACCACCACTACTACCATTCACCTCACCTACCTGTAAAATTTCAGTGAAAAACTCAAACGCTTAGTCAAGAAATTCAACATGGACGTCCGGTGGAAATCGTACAAGACATTAAGATCCATTCTGGTAAAAAACAAACAGCAACCTACCAATGAGAAACACAAAAACGTCATTTATGTAATTCCGTGTTCCTGCAACGAAACATACATTAAAGAAACGGGAAGAACACTCGTGATAAGAATAAAGGAACATAAAGACAGTGCAAGACTCATGAAAACACAAAATTCAGCCACTGCAGAACATGCACTGTCAACTGTACACAAAATAAACTGATAAAAACAAGAATCATCTTCACAGACAAATTTTGGCAGACAATAAAAATTAAGAATAGTTTTATATGAACACAATTAAACCTTCACTAAACAGAGATTCTGGATTAAAGGTGAGTAACCTGTGGTTACCATTGGTTGAATCTACAAGAAATCTCTCCTCCAATCAGAAAGAAGGATAAACCACCCAATCATAACACGCCTCCACAATCCACCAGAATACTATAAAGACCGTCTACACCTTACACACACACTATCCTGAAGTCGAAAGGCGGAAAACTTTCAAAACGTGGTCCTCTACACTTGTGTCTCTACAACAGGCAGTTACCGTCCATTCTACAAAGTTTCATCATATATAAGGAGTTGAATTAAAATGGTGATCTCCTTTACCAATTCTGTGAATTCCCTTACATGCATCTCACCATATCCCCAATTATCGGTTTTTATAAATAGACCCCCCAATGATCGCTCACAGATTTAGCTTTGTAATTTATCAGTCATTTAAGCCTAACACTACCACCACTCTCACTATTTGGATATTAGTTATACAGTTAAAGAGATACACACCTGTTATGTAATACCACTTTCAAGGACTTTTTTGCAAAAAAATGAGTTGATTTGTGACTAATACATCTCAAATTCATCCTACCCTAATTATCTGCACACGGTGGAAACTAAATATGGTGGGAAAAGTATTATTTACTCTATATATTCCCCTCTGAAGCAAAACTGAAGTAAAGTAGAACATGTAAAGGGGTTCACGCAATTTCATGTTCAGGGATTTTTATTGAAGAATGCAATTTACTCGTACCCTTTTAGTTATTGATAACCACAAATGTCTTGGCTGTTGTGTATAATAATATGACAAAATGACATAATTTGAGTATCTACACTAGATATAGGCATAAAAGAGATCACGTGCTTAAAAAATAAATTTGTTACAAGCTCCAAATTGACATACTGAAATAATATCTTGATACCCTATATTTGGGGTATGATCAAATCAAATTATATACTTCCAAGATTGATTTTAGACTCTAATATTTTTATTTACTCAAAAATTTGTAATTATTTTCTTGAAAATAAATAAATAACAGTAAAGGAGAACAAGAAAATTACGGCGACATGTTAGTTTGGATATTTATATATGTGAAAAAAGTAATGGGACAATCAGCTAATAACAAATTTTCAAAACACAAATGTTTACCAATTAATCACAATAAAGGCTTGAGTCATACAATTTTTTTGTTTGTGTTATTGCTTTGAAATTAAATTTTTCTACTGGCGACATGCTACTTTTAAAACTCCATTATTGCTTATTTCCTTGGTTTGCTGGAAAAACTTAACACAATTTCAACATATTATATGTGTTTAGAAAGCTCTATCCTTCGTATATCATTTATAAATTATTATATATTTGTGTAAGGTACGTACTCAGAGAAATGTGCCCCAGAACAATGGCGACATCAAATTGGATACTTAAGAAAGCCTGGCCCATAACTTGGTTTACAAATTATTAAGAGTACATTTCTTTGTATGTCTGCTGTTAATCATTTCAAAAGCCCCTGGTAGATCAACAGTAAGTCTGAAGGCTTATAACAAAGAATCTGGTTTTGATACCCATGGTAGCAGAGCACAGGTAACT